TCATTCATACATAATTTGAAGGCATGTTTTTGCACTCATATGTAGTTCGATTTCAGGAATAGTGGGTGGAACTAGTAGAGCCATTTAGAACGCTTCTATTTTTTAATCTTTGACCGATAAGCTTTCTTAGGCAACTCGGGCCATACTTTATTACGCGAAAGTGAATCTTAAATCTCCCTCTACAAGATTACATACGATCACATACATGCATATTTGCATATGAAGGGCAAGTAGTCGTGCCGTATGTACGGTTAGGAAGATACAGGGGCTCAGTGGAAAGCTTTGCATTTCAATTGTAGTAAACTGTCGAGCTATGCAGCCATTCGCCAAGTCCAACTCTCATGTCACATGAAAGAAAATTAATCACAAAACAGTCGTTGACACTAACGTAGGATATACACATAAAACTAAATATTAAAGATGTAGCTTTGCCCCATTTTTATGAAATTCGAAGTTTACAAAGCAACCGCTGTAACTATTGGGGAATATCGTTGTTTATTGGATTATCTTCAACTTTCAGAAGAGCTCTTCAGCTCCAACATTCAAACCCTGCGAAATTGGAAGTGTTCAGGGCATACCAACTCTCCCTGACGTGACGTTTGTATGTCCGAAATTACCCCGTAAAGTAACATTTTTTCAGTTTTGAGCCCATATAAACCATACTATTTGACCCAGGTGATTGAAAATTTGACACAGTATGCTCTTAACATGATCAAATCGAAAAACAATCATATCATGAACCGGCCATGAACAGTTTCGGCTTGCCAGTCAAAGTTTTTACGCATAAAGTGAATTTAGGTAAAAATGGTTAAATACAAAAACCACTCTTTCTCCTGAAGTTTGCCCCAGATTTGGCCTCCGGGTGAGTGATAAGTTGGTTTCAAGTGTGGCCGATGCGATGCGCGCAACGGGACAAGCCTCCAAGTTGGCCGTTAGATGGAAGCGTCATCGCCATGCTTCCGGGCAGAGTTGTCCGAAATTACACCGAGTGTCCGAAATTACCCCGTTTCACGGTAGGCCTTCTCAGAATCCCAGTAAGGGAGTATGGGGCGATTTGTAACAGATTTCGGAATTCTCTATACAAAATTAAGAACATTCTGCATATCGGTGTCAAACTTGTGCGAGTTGAGTAGTCTGGCCCTTTATCTAGACTGTGCAGCTCCATTTAATCAATCTGGAGTCCGTAATCTTTGAAATCTAAGACGTTTTCCAAACCCTTGCATGCCGTTACGAATCGCCCCAGCATGGGGTGATTTGTAACAGCCATGGGGTTTTTCATAACATCCTACACATTAAATGAAACATCGTCAGGAATGTTATCTCCTCCACCAGTTGTTCTTCGGGTGTCCTGAAGACGTCCAAAAATCTACATTACAAGCTGCCGTTGACCGCCTCAGCATTAACTGATAGGCTATGTCAATCCTAACCTCACTTTTTTCAATTATAGAGGAAATCACAGAATAACTCGCTTTAAAATGCATTTCGAGCTCTGTAAATGTATTGGAATAAAACAGCAGATGATTCGAGAAATAATTGAAGCATTTAACAGCAAAAACTACTTCAATTGTTGTTTTTATACGGGTCTGTTACGAATCACCCCAAATGCCTGTTACGCAAGAAATCCGTCCCTAACTATCACTGGACAAAGCAAAAGCAACTTATCCCTCGTGTTTACATAGTAAAGGGGTCACGCTTCAAGGCCTTGACGGTACTTCGATGGTGATTCATGCCAGGGGAGCCTTAGACAAAAACTTCCTAGAACTCAAAGATTTGCCTATTTGCCGAAATTTCGGTGTACCCTATATTTCAGACGCCCTCCAAAACTATACCTGAGCACTAGGGTGGTCCGAAGAAACACTTTGAGTAGATTTATTTAATAAGGACAGGTCCTGACAGTGACCCCTTTCGATTTCCGCGGTCGATGGCTTGGCAGATTGCTTACCTAAGTAGATGTCCTAAAATAAAATATTAGGTCGCTCGAAGCCTTCTTGGCTGAGTTATAGCTAACTTTGTTTTTATTTCTTAAAAAAGCTGGGTATTTTGGGTATTTTTTAAACGAGACGTACTTTTTAAGCCAGGTGGATGAAAATTGGTTCTGTGATGCAAAATTAACTAAGGAACACGATGGTGCCCTCAGAATTGATCTACGACCAATACTTACGGAGATGTCGGCCTCCAAAGTTGGTAAAAAGGGCCAAAATGTAGGAAAATACCCGAATCTTGGGTTTTCGAAAAGTATTAGACCCATTGACACGATTCAACGCTCATATTGTAGAAAAAAAGCCACGGAATACAATGAGCTCGGGCCCAGGTCCGTGAGACTAACCGTTCAGGATATACGCGGCTCTAAAGTTAGCCATGTTTTGTAGGGTGCCGAAAACGTTGTTTTTGCACCTTTTCAGACTGTTGAGCCTTCAGCGACACGTATCCTGCCTGCCTTCGCGAAGAGCTCGGCTCAGAGGAAGGCGATACTGTGGCGAAACGCAGCCCACTGGCAGATTAAAGAAGAGGCTTTCAGAAGAGGTGCTCAGGAAGAAAAACCCCGCTGAGGGAGCCACCATCCACGCAGTGCATTAGCCCGTCCTGATTGAGCCCCGATGACCTGAGAGCCCGGGCCAGAGCCCCGACCGAGCCCGGACTGAGTCCCGATGGCCCCAGACCTGACCTGAACCCCATTAGACCCCATTTAAGCCCTGCGCCAAAAAAAATGTTGCAATTTGACCCAAAAGCTTTACAAAAACTGATCCAGGAAGCGGAAGAAGGGGTTAACTCAATTTTGGCCATTTTCCAGGAGAAACCAAAAACTGTTAGGAGGGAAAACTAAAACAAAACAAATGAATGTTGCACATGTTAATAATTTCAAAAAGCATTAGTAAAATTTTGGAAAAAAAATAAAAAGTGTAAGGTCACTCTGTAGAGGATTTCTGCAACTTATCGCTTTCCGTTGAAATGGAAAACAGAGTCAGCTCACCTTATATTTCCTAAACAAAGAGGAATTTGGAGACAAGTCAAGTGGAACAATAGGCTGCATAAAGTGTATGTTACTCTGGTGTAGTATTTTTTGGACTTAGCTCTTTTTTCCAAATTGAAATTTAAAATTAAGTTGAGTTGATTCTTTTTCCACAAGATTCATAAAAATACAAGTTGAGTTATATCCTTTTGCCAATTTGTCAAACGGACTCATGTGGACTTCCGTTGAGTTATCTCCATTTTCCAATGAAATTTAGACCTTAAAAGGGGTTAAGTTGAGTTATACCCTTTTTCCATGTGGCTTTTCTCCTAAACCGCTTGGAATTCAGTCAAATAATTTGGTGTAATGATGGAAACCATTCTAAGGCACAATATTAAAATACAAACTCAATTTGGGGATAAGTCAAGTTATTCCCTTCTTCCGCTTCCTGGATCAACTGTTCAAACAGCGGGTGGAAACTCCCAAGGTGGGGCTGGGTCCCGGTCCGGATCGGTCCGCTCGGGGCGCCACGGGCAGCAGACGAACTTGTCACCCCGCATTTTATTTTAAAGAAATGTACCCTAAATCGAAACATTTGGAGTCATATTCGGGTATCAAAATCAAGGTTATTGTCTAAAGAATGCATCTGAAACATAGTTTCCTCTTTATAATCGAAATAGAAATAAGGGAGGTGATGAAAATGCGATGGCTCGGTCGCGGGAAACGCTGCCACCAGATTTTGTAACACTTCGTTTTCAATGTTAGAGCCCTCGGAGGCCATACATGTAAGCGAGCCGATTTTTCCTAATAAAATTTCGCTCGGCGTAGGATACATTTCCTTTTGATTAGACTCACCTTGCAAGAAATATCTCACATAATAGTTGACGCGACGGAATGGCGTCTGCTTGTACTTCTCACTTCAACTCGATAAATAGAATACATATCACTCGAATCAAAGCTGCATATCTGACCTAATGCACGGCAAATTTCATGTAGATTCATTTGGCACACGCGGATTGGAAAAATAAGGTCCGATTTCTTTACATTAAGTGGATTAAAAACACCAGACGCAAAGAGGCTGAAATGACCACTTTTACGCACTGTAAAAAATCATGGGTAAATTTACCCGTGCTGCACTGATAAATTTTACGCTCGCGTAATGGGTGCGCAGAGCTAAACTTACTATGTGGCTGGAAAATTTATCCACTGACAGTGTGGGGAAATTTATGAGTCACCAAAGTAAATTTACTCTTTGGGAAGATAAACTGATTTCACTTGCCACGACAGTAAAATTACCCTAGCAAGTCAGAATAAATTTCTACACCTGGAGTGGCCGACCATCTTTCCCGCGCCACAGGGGCAAATTTCCTCGCGCCTCTGCTCGGCCTGTCCGGCCGGACCAGTACAGAGCTCGCAGCTCGCAGCGAATTCCCTGAAGGATGTCTCGTGGCGCAGTGGATAGCGTAGTGTGATTTGAATCTCAAGGTTGACGGTTCGACTCCCATTGAAGTGAATAACGTGGGCAAGGTTTAGTCACCCTAACATGGTTTTAGCCACTGGCGCAAGCCAGCGGGGTAATTTTACCCCTGTGGCGTGAGTTATTTTGGGTCGGTAGAAATTTACCCCTGTGGCTCGGGAAAGATACACCCTCAGTCCATGTGCGTAAATTTCACAAGAAATGCGTGGAGAAATTTCTTACGTCATGTACTGATCTATTTACCTATACATTATATGAGAAATAACTACCGCTTGATGGTGGACCAAGCGTTGCCCGGTCCAAATGCGTAAATTTTCCCCCGGGATTTTTTACAGTGCGGTCTCTACTAATGTGAGAAATCCGACCCGTCCAGACACACGTGAGTTCCTGAGAACAAATCTTCAAACATGCCGTCGTGCATTTTGTTTAAAGGTTTTTGCACGAAAATAACCCCAAATTGTTCAATATGAATTCTAAAATACTGTAGCGTCAAACACCGTTTAAAGCGTCATCGGCCTGTGTCGTCTGTACCGGAAGCCGGGACAGACTATGGCAAATTCACCGCTCGGCGCAGTTTTGTTTACTTTTCACAGTTCGACGATTGGGCATGGGCATTGCATTAGGTTGAATTTGAAAGGATGGATTCTCCTCAGGAGGTTAGTGTGGTTGTATTTATTGTTCGTGCAGTTGTATTTATTCTTTAGACGTGTATCAATAGCACGACTGATTTAACAGAGACGGAGAAGGGGCAGAGGCCAGCAAAGACTGATTGGGCGGCGTCCCAAAGGCAGCAAGGTTAAGGGTGGCCAGGTTCGTTGTTACTTTTTACCTTGCCAAGTTGTCTTATTTATATCGGCTTAGTCTCTTTTAATGTCTCACAGTCCAATTCCATCAAGATAATTTTACATCAGTTTCTTTTAGTCTGCTTCTCCTGACACCCAAGTGGGTGTCTATTTGTGATTTTTGGAGTGCACAAATGTTCTTATTTTTGTGTATTGTTTTTGTTGACAGGATGCATCAGGAGAATCAAGTGTTTCTGACAGTGGAGCTGTAGTTACAGACTCGGACACTTCATTACCAACTTCAGATGCCGATCGTAGACATGTAAGTGAACCATTTTTTTTTTGTGACCCGGAATCTTTAGTACCTTTGATCCCATGTTTTGAGTTAAACATCTACTCTATGTATAAACATTTTATCTACTTTAAACACATGTCATGTAGCACTTTTTGTTCCACCTGACATCTGAAAACTTAAACTATTTATTTTGATTGAAGTCCGAACACTTACCTTGATCTTACTAATTCTTTTTTGTTTTGTTGCGGGGTAAAGAAAGAGCTCTGCGCATTCAACTTCAAAACACTTTGATTTGAATGGACATGCAAAAGATTTTGTGACAGAGAATGATAAGATAAAATTACAAGGTCTAAATGGTGTGACTGAATATATTTCTGTTTGAAACAATATTTCAACATGGATTTTGCTTTCAGAAACAATGCCAGAAGTCAGTAAATGATCCACATCTCTGCTCTGAGTCTGACTATGTATCAGAAACAACAGCATCTGAATGGACGGTGAATGAAACAGACTTAGAAGAGGTAACTATTTGATGTGTTATGAGTTTGATTGTTTCAGTTGTAGTTTGGTGTAACTAATTATATTTTATTTCTTAATCATCTCTAGAAAAGGAAAAAGAAAAGAAAAATGCGAAAGAAGAGGGCAAAGTTGCAATATCAAAGGAAATATTCCAGAAGACAAGTAAGCTTTGCAATCTTTTCAAGTTTAGTAAAACCGTTAGTCATACAAAAGTGTGCTGTAATTTTGTCGCATTTATTGTAGGTTGGTAGTTATTCTGATTCTGATGAAGAAGAGGAGGAGGATTCTGAAGTAGATGTCACAGGAAGTTCTGATTCAGAAGAATTTGTATTAAGTCAATCAAGTGATAGCAGTGAAACATCAGTTGAGTCAAACCTGAGCACTAATGTGAGTAGCTTACACTTATGACTTTCATAAAAAGGACTACTATGAATTAATGTTCTTACTTTTCTCTTTTAGTTGGAAGAAACTACCAGTCCAGATCCCACTCAATAAGGGGTATTGAAATGCACGCTTTTTTCATTTTCATACCGGCCCAACCGGAAAATTGTTTTTTCATCTATTTAATGAGCCTACGCCAAAACTGAGACCGGTCGAACAGGACGTAGGGGTCGCCAATGTTTTTTTAAGGTTCAATTTCGACACTGTTTCGCTGAATTCCGAGAATTTTCGTGTTGTGGGTTCCCAGATCGACCGGACTAGACCGAGCACCCCGGACTCGTTTTTGTCTCTTTCTACTTGGTGCGGGGAGTAAAATGAGAGCTCGTAGGGTCCGATCGGACATGTTTGGGAAAATTAGTAACGTTGTTTCGGTGAAAAAAATGCCTTTTTTTAGCGTTTTAAAAGTTTGGAATTTTTTATCTGTTTTGTGTCTGCACCAAACGAATCGTCCTGAACGTCATATTATAGAAAAAAGTCTCAGCTTTCGAATGCCGTATCGGGAAATGCTCTACGACCTTTCGTTAAGGAGATACAGGCGTTAAACGAATAACATGTCACTCAAAATGTCAATTTAATTAGTGATTTTTATCAGTGGAGTGCTTCCTTTTTCATTGCTACCTTAACAGTTTGTAAAGATTTCGCATACTTTGAGCCTGGGCGTCAGCAACTGCGATAGCGAGGAGGCGGGGGTGGGGATCGAGGCGCGGTGGACGTGCACACTGTAGGTAGGTCGGCCCAGGTGGCACAGGTGAGACTGCAGTGGTGGGGGAAGGCAGCCATTGGTGGGGAGGATGCTGGCTTCTCGAGCTATCCAATTAAGACTACGCCTGCGAGATAGCGAAAGCGTGAGAGCGCGAGAGCGTTCGTCTGAGCGAGGAATCGGAGGAGTGGGGGAAGAGTTTGGAGGGGAACTCTTCCCCCACTCCTCCGATTCCTCGCTCAGGCGAACGCTCTCGCGCTCTCACGCTTGCGCTCTCGCAGGCGTAAGTCTAAATTGGATATAGCTTCGGTAGCACACGTGCTGCGTCTCGCTCCGGTCCGGCCCGCCGCGCGCGCGCTTCGTTCAGTGTCAGCTGACAGTGTAGGCGTTGTGTGTCTTGACGTCAAAACGACTGGCCCGTCTGACAACGCCTACACTGTCAGCTGACACTGAACGAAGCGCGCGCGCGGCGGGCCGGACCGGAGCGAGACGCAGCACGTGTGCTACCGAGAAGCCAGCATTCCCCCCACCACTGGCTGCCTTCCCCCACCACTGCAGTCTCACCTGTGCCGCCTGGGCCGACCTACCAACAGTGTGCACGTCCACCGCGCCTCGATCCCCACCCCCGCCTCCTCGCTATCGCAGTTGCTGACGCCCAGGCTCAAAGTATGCGAAATCTTTACAAACTGTTAAGGTAGCAATGAAAAAGGAAGCACTCCACTGATAAAAATCACTAATTAAATTGACATTTTGAGTGACATGTTATTCGTTTAACGCCTGTATCTCCTTAACGAAAGGTCGTAGAGCATTTCCCGATACGGCATTCGAAAGCTGAGACTTTTTTCTATAATATGACGTTCAGGACGATTCGTTTGGTGCAGACACAAAACAGATAAAAAATTCCAAACTTTTAAAACGCTAAAAAAGGCATTTTTTTCACCGAAACAACGTTACTAATTTTCCCAAACATGTCCGATCGGACCCTACGAGCTCTCATTTTACTCCCCGCACCAAGTAGAAAGAGACAAAAACGAGTCCGGGGTGCTCGGTCTAGTCCGGTCGATCTGGGAACCCACAACACGAAAATTCTCGGAATTCAGCGAAACAGTGTCGAAATTGAACCTTAAAAAAACATTGGCGACCCCTACGTCCTGTTCGACCGGTCTCAGTTTTGGCGTAGGCTCATTAAATAGATGAAAAAACAATTTTCCGGTTGGGCCGGTATGAAAATGAAAAATGCGTGCATTTCAATACCCCTTACCACTCAAGGAGGAGCGGAAGATGAACAAACTCAATCAAAGGATGGCCAAACACCTGAGAACCCAACACCCAAGACAACAGAAAGCAGTGTAAGCTACAACTTAATCTAAACTCCATCAGTTAATCAAATTTTATCATTTTTTATCATTATGCATTTCTTTTAATTCTTCAGGATTTTATGCACTCATTATTGAATAACATGAAGCTTCTGGTTCCTGATGATTGGCATGCAGATCTTTGGGGCGAAACAATGAGGCTCTATACCATCAGCCAAAGCAGTAACCCATCGGTAGAACGAAGCATTATCTTCAGTAACAATTCCAAAAAATTCAGTGTCTTCATTCATGGAGTTCCTTTAAGTGGACAGAGCGCAATTTTACAAGACCGAAGAGGCGTTGATGTACAAAATATTGGTGACTTATCTGATTTTCTCCTTAGTTTGTTATCTAAAGTTGCTACTGCTGCTGTGTGCTCTGGTATCCACACTCATACCGAGATTTGGGACTTTGAAACAGGATATCTGGACTATAGTGAATCATTTGAATCACCCTATTTCAGAAGTAAGTCCTGCTCTGTTTTAATGAACGCCACCAAGAGATCTGATCAATGTCCTGCCGCCACCTTTTGAAAAAATTAGAAAGGGAGCAGAAGAGAAAAGACAAGGAGAAAGGAGATCCGTTCTCTGCTAGAGACAAAGACCTTTCCAAAGCTGGGATAAAAGTGAAGAAAGACAAGTATAAAAAAATGGCCAAACAAGAGAAGAAGAGAGCTGACAGGCTTCAAAAAAGAGTCGATTCACTCACCATCAAATTAGATGAAGCAATGAAGGATGAATTGGTTGCATTGTTGCTGGCAAACCAACATAAAATGACGGACATTCAGAGAACATTTTGGATCTCACAGATGGACGCAATCGGAAAGGATGACAAAAGGGGTATACGATGGAACCCAATGCTTATCCGCATAGCGCTTCATCTTCATTCTTTGTCCCCAAATACATGTCAATTTTTTGATACTACTAAAATCTTGATTCTACCTTCAAAAAGAAGACTATACGACTATAGTCATTTTGTTGAAGCACAAGAGGGCTGTCAAAAAGAGCTGTTGCTAATGATAAAGCAGAAAGCAGAAAAATGTGGCTCTGAAGATCACTTTTCATACATAAACTTAATGTTCGATGAAATGAATATTAAAACTGGGATTGTAACTCATCGCTCTACTGGCAAACTCATTGGTTATACCAATTTAAGTGGCGTTGATGAAGAAATTGCTAAAATACAGCAAGAGCTCACTATGAGGACGTACAGACCAAGACTTGCCAAAAAGGTGTTAGTTTATGTGGCTCGAGGCATTACAAGTGATGTAAAAGATGTTGTTGCTATATTTACCACAGATGATCTTGCTGCACACCAACTATATGATCGTACTTGGGATGTTATATACCATCTAGAAGAGGCTGGATTAAAGGTGTTAACATTATCTTTTGATGGTGCGTCAGTTAACAGGAAGTTTGCCATGATGCATGAATCTCTGGATAAAAGTTCTGCTTATACTTATTGCACCAAGAACTTAGCAACTGAAGATCATCGTCCTCTCTTTTTTATCATTGATCCCCCTCACTTGTTAAAAACTATCAGAAATGCCTTAGCTAACTCGTTTAGTCACAGGAAATCAAGAAAATTGTGGAAGAATGGGGAACACTTGTCCTGGAAGGTATTAGAGGAAGTGTATGAAATTACAAAGAATTGGAAGCATACAGGGCATAAATTGAAGAAAGACCATATCAAACTGTCAAGTTTCAGTGTCATGACTGTAATTTATGCGACTCAGATCTTGAGCAATTCTACTGCAAAGGCAATTGAAGATTTGTCAAGCCACCCGAGTATGTCAAAGTATCAGACGAAGGAGTTGGTCAAATTCATTCGTCTAATGAACAGATTTTTTGATTGTGTTAATACAAGAATAGAACCATCAGAAGATACTACCAATCAAGACAAAGAGCCATTCTTTGATGAAAATGACAGTAGGCTTTCTTTCCTGGAGAAAGATGTACTAAATTACTTTGAGGATTGGAAAAGTGAAGTCACTGAAAGGCCTGGAGAATATACCGAGGCGGATCGTAACAAAATGATTATTAGCCATCAAGCTCTGGGTGCCTTACAAATCACCATCAAAAGTATTACATCTGCTATTCGATACATGCTTCAAGTTGGAGCACCCTGTGTAGGAGCTAGAGTGTTTAATCAAGATCCAGCCGAACAATATTTTGCAAAGTTAAGAAGAAAGCAAGGAGATGGGAATAATCCACTCGTGAAGAATGTTTTAGATTCTCGGCTAAGTTTAGTCGCTCAAGGCCATGTTGCCTCAACTTCAACTTCTTCCAAAGGAAATGTGCAAGGTGAGAAACGTAAGGGTGAAATCGAAGTAGATTCAAGTCCCCTTCCTTCAAGAAAAGTGTCAAGAAAGTCACAAGAATGACAGGCAAAGTAGAAGTCTTCTTTTTTACAATAGCTTTGTAAATGATAATTAAGTTTGTTATTGAACAATGTATCACTATAAATAAAACAAAGATTATTCTTGCTTTGTAAACTGCAATGTATTTTGTTATTGAATTATTTTATCTTAATAATACATATAGTCCGAGGGCAAGCCCTGTACAGACACCAAGATGTTTTTTTGTGTACAAAAATATAAAGCTAATATTTTGATACAGATGTAGAACCATACGGTGGAGTTTACAGATTATGTATAATAAAGGAAAATTAAACAGTCTTGAAACAAAATATTCATTTCAACACACAAAAAATCAATCAAAAATCAATCCACACTTTCATGACAGTCATCTTTCTCAGCAAAGTTATGATGCAAATGGGTTCTCAGGGCAGCTGCATTTGCTTGGATGGTGTTTTCTTCATCTCTGTTTCTTCTCCTTTCTTCATAATTTCTTGATGACTTCAGATACTGATGGAGCAGATCTCTCATGAACAGAAGAGAATCTGCCTCAGAAAGGTATGAATTGGTCAAGTAAAACCAATGATCTAAAAGATAGGATTGTTCAAAAACCATCCCTATTAGATCATCAGCAGTTGTTGTTTGATCTGATGACCTCAAAGAAACTTCAATCCTCTTGAAAAAATCACTAGCTCGGTCACTGGGAACAATGCATTTCTCTTGTCCAGAAAACCAATTTTTCTCATTCAGGAAATCATATGTACTTATAGGATGTTCTCCTTCAACAAATGTTTCTTTGATGCAAGCACAGTAAGTGTCACGTGATCCTCTGTGCTTTTTAAACCTTTTTCTCAAAAAAATTCCCAAGTTCGTTGAAAAGTTTTTTTCTTCAGTTTCACTCATGGTTGTATCATAAACTGATGGTGGCTCTGTGGTGGAACTCATCTTTCTCACCACCCAAATCTGGATGTGCGCCAACATCTTTGTAGAAATCCGAAATATAAGTCTGTTGACATATAACTTTCTAGCATTGGGACACACAGCAAGAAATTTTTCTTGTAGTAGGAAACTTTCAGAATTGAAGAATTCATTTAATTTAGACTGTGCCACTTCGTATTGGTTCATAGGAAGAAGCTTAGATTGTTTTCTTGCACAAACATAGCTGCATATGTTGTCACTTATTTCATATACAAAGGCTTTCCATTCTTCTGTATTTTTCTTGTTGTGGAACTCTTTTAAAATATTTGCTTTGGATTCATCATAAGCTGGTTCAGCTAATATCTCTTCTATTACTTTATCCATTATAGGATTTAAAGCTTCTTCTTTTACTTCTGCAGCAGTTGGCTTTTTCTTGTTGGCTTCTGCAATTATTTTAATATTGTAAGTCTAAACTTAATGGGTTAATAAAAAAATTCCAGCATCAAAAAGAAAAAATAAATTGTACCTTGTATTCGATGAGAGGCACGGTGATTGAGAAAGGTACGTTTGCTTCCAAGCTCTGAATCACACTCAGGGCATTTATACACCTGAAATAAATTTTACAGTTAAAAACCAAAACAAACAGATACAGCAGAAATGTTAATATTATAGCCACACTCCTACCTTAGTGGCTTTGGATGAAGCGAGTTGCTGTTGGGCACCAGTAGAAGTAGATGCAGTGACACCTTGTGTGTTATGCCGCTCTGCATCGTTGTCAGAGAGAGCTACTTGATGTTTGTCCAGCATGTGTTTTTTGAAGCCTGCCTGTGTTTTAAAAGTTGTCTTCCTTTTGCAAGTAGGACAACGATACAGCTACACTGTTAAAAAAGTTCGTAAATTTCATAACAGAATTAATTGCAATTTTGCGAACATGGTTGTGAATTTTCATAACATTGTAATTTTCATAACAATGTTGTGAAAAATGATATTATTTCTTAATTTTCAATACATGTTCTTAAAATTACGAATGTGTGGTAGTAAATTTAGTATACGATCGCATTTTCCCAAACCAATGTTCTGAACTTTGCGATCGGATGTTAAAAATAACAATCCAACGGAGGGCGATTCGGCGCGCGTTTTGAATGTCTACCTTCTTCCCGCTGGACGGTCGTCGCCAGCCGCACCCAATCACAAAGCCGCCTCTAACCCCTTCCCCCTTCCCCTTCCCTTCGCCCCTCCGAAAGATGTGTTTTTTTTTCTCTCTCTCTCCATTTGATCGCACGTTCTCACATGCGGACGTAATTCACGAAATGCCTTCCAAGTGGCAATTCGAAACTGTGTCAAATTTAGATTGTTGAAGACATAATGTCCGTCTCGAGAATGACCTACAAGTGTGCTGGGCTGTGTCATTGACTGCGAATGAAATGAAATAGTAACGATAATGCATACCTGCCTAGGCTCAAGATTTGGTTATGTCGCCCTTGTTATGTTGGGGGAAAATGGTTGTGGGAATGGTAAGCGTTAATCATCAGTTCTCATTGAAGTTGTCTTGTCATTTTCTTATGTAATTCTTTATGTGGGCCAGGGCTTGTCCATTAATTGGCGCGTTCCTTCTTTCAGATTCATTTATCCGACTGCAGGAGCTGTTTACATCAGCCCCACTGCGTGCTTTATCAAATCAACATCATCATCTGCAGCCTACACATTTCTCAATTGGTATGTAATATTCAGTCTTCCATTTCACTATTCTTGCCACCTTCCTCTTTGTTTATTTAGTTAATTTGTTTCTATCCGTTCAACCACAGGTACAACGTCATCCACTCAACTGGCGCAACTGCAACTGGATGGCTATTTGTTCAAGCACAGTTGGAGGCATCTTCATTAAATCAACTTGATTGTCTCCTCACATGTCACAATGGGTATGTAAAGTGTAGTATTTTATTCTAATGTTCTTGCTGTTTGGTGGATTGTCTAACTTTTTCTTTAACTTTGTTTGTTTTTCAACAGGCTCAATACAACTCAGGTGCCGCTACTGCTCTTCTCCATATTCTACTTTTATGGGCTACGTAAACCATCTGCCTCATCATCGTCACATTACCAAGTTCTTTCCTTGTGGCATAGATGATTGCAAAGAAGTCTTCCCAGCAGAAGCTTCCTTGCGCATGCATCTCATTCGACACCACAAAGTTTCTGTAAAGAAGAAGTCTACAAGCACTGTGTATGCTACAGATTCATCAGGAAAGTATGTGTGTACTGTGTCCCATTGTCGCCAGCAGGTGAACTGCAAGAAAGATTTGACAAAACATATTTGTAGTCACATAGCAAATGGTCTCAAAAATGTGCCTTGCCCACATCGAGGTTGTAATTCCTGCTATTCCAACGTAAACTCTTTTTTAAGTCATCTTCAAAAATTCCACAAGCCTGTGACAGTTGAAGTAGAATCACACCCCTCCAATAGTGAGACCCAGACCTTGCCAGACTTTGACGATTATGTACAGTCGGTGCCACTAGAAAGTGATTTTGATAATGCTCAACATGAAACTGTCAGAGAGAAGAAAACACCGGTATTGGGACAGTGGTGCCAGTGGTGCCAGTGGTGCAGTGGTGCGGCGCGGAGTGGTGACTCGAGTGGTGCCGGTATTGGGACAGGTGGTGTCGGTTGGGTGGCCTACCCTCCCGGCGCTCGGGGGGGCTCGGTTGGGTGGCCTACCCTCCCGGCGCTCGAGGGGCTCGGATGGGTGGCCTACCCTCCCGGCGCTCGGGGGGCTCGGCGGAGTGGTGGCGCTAGTGGAGTCTCCAGGGGCGCGTGGTGTCGCATGGGTTGCCTAGGTTCCCGGCGCAGGGAGGGAAAATGGGGGTGCTGGGGGTGGGTTGGGGGATGAGGTTGGGTGCCTACTTTCACGGGGGGGCGCGCGCGCGCGCCTTCCGTTTCTTCTTGTGTCTCTGTCTTATTGTCCTTATGGGTTTTCCAAGCAAGTGATGGTGTAGAGATGTGGGAGGAGGCAAGTACAAGCGTTAGACAAGGGGGTTAATCAGTAATCATTGTGAGTTCGATTGTGGAAGACGGAGGGTCGAATCTCAGTGAAGGCGCCCATGTGTAACGGTTGTACTTTTTTGAGTAGCACTTGAAAACAGTCATGTTATTTGTAGTCTTTTTCTTGAAACAACGAAGGAAGTATGAAAAACCTATGCTGCTTTGGTTTCCGCCTCTCTGCGCGATCGTGTTGTGGCCCGACAGAGGCGCATGTTGACACAAGATCCAGGAGCTTCGTATGCAATTCTCGCTCTAGGCGCCGGCGTCCGCCGATGCGGAACATCGATGGTTCGATGGTCTTCAGTTGTGTCCCAGCGCGCAGCGAGAATGAGCTATCCTAGATTTAAGTGCGTCCGTTGTCGTATCGGATTGTGGAGCGTAGATGCGGCGCGCAGTCACATGCAGGAACATCGGCAAATCCGTGAGTACCATTCATCAGTCACCATCCTTCCAGAGACTGGTTTCGGTATCCGTCCGAATGTTGCTCGATGATGTGTGCATGGTCCCAAACTGCCCGCGTGTTCGGCTCCTTGGCCTCGGGTTAGCGGCTGGTCAGAGTCGAGCAGTCGAGCCTGTCCGGGAGCCGAGCCGAGTCGATGGCTTCGACGGCGCTCGACGGCGAGCCAAAGACTCCCGAGGCAGTGGGATGTGCATGCCAATGTCGGTCTCTGTTTTCTTCTGTGTCTTCCCTGCATCCATGTGAATCTAATAGGGTGTTTTTGTGTTTTATTTTAAAAGAGGGGATAAACATTGCTCATCCCGTGGAGTGCGGGCGTTGCGGTGGAATATTTAACACCATCAACATCACACTCCAACATCAACAGGAGGGGGTGTGCTATATGTGTGAGTGTTAATGTGTAACAAGATTACACAAATGGACGTAATAGACTGTCGAAGGGTATTTAAGTGATGAACAAAATGTTACAGCTGTTCCTGTTGCGAATGGTGCGATAAGATCCCGATTCGGACCTATGGGGACAAGCATATCTATAATTCCCAGAGACGAAACGCCGCCCATCCTCCCCATCAGGGCTCCGATGCCCGTCAGGACCACCGTACCCATTTGGGCGACATA